TCTAAAGAAGCAATATATGGAAAAGTGACTTTAACATTAAATTAATAGCTATGCAAATGTTAATTCTGTTACACCTAGAGGGGCTCACAAAATGCTAGGAAAATTTCTTAAAAATACATTTTGTGTTTCATTCAATTACTATGGGTTACATTTCATAATAGCTCAGGATGAACCAATACATGTCATAAGGATGTGATATGGCTATTACTTTTTATGTATGAGCACAGTTCATCATTATTATAGACTGAACACAGTATTTCAAACTATTTTAGATAATTTCCAGTTAAGTGAGTCAAACCTGCCACAGGTCTGGTCTGAGAATCAGAATTACAGAACAAAAGATAATTCAGTTAGAAAAAGCCCATCTACCCACACCCTTGAGTGCCCTTGAGTGCAGGGAAGTCAGGTATTATTGTTTTCACTTTTTAAATTATGTGTTCATGAATTTTTGGATGCTGGTAGAAATTTACAATGATGATACATTTGTAAGACAGGGTTTAAATCCAAAACCATCACACATTTAATTTTCATAGATCATTGATGCAAATAGTTGTTGCTTTTTAAGAGTTAGTTCATTGTTTCCTCCCCCATTAACCATTTTTTTTTTCCTTTGGCATGCAACAAGATATAGTGCAAAGATCACTGACTTTAGCATCAGAAAACTCTGGCTTTGAAAGACAGTCTTACTGGGTGACCTAGAGCAGGGATCAGAAAATTTTATTCTGTAAAGGGCCAAATAGTAAAAATGTTTGTCTTGTGGTGCCTGTAGTCTCTATTGAAAAAATATTCAGTTCTTCCTCTGTACAAAGAAGCCATAGACAATATGTAAATGACTGGGCATAACTGCATTCCCATACAAAACCAGGTGGTATGCAAATGTGGACGACAGGCCACAGTTTGCCGATTTCTCATGAAGAGGAAATTACTGTACTTCTCATCTATCAAGCGGAGGCATTAGAGCTTAAGTATGAAGTAACTCAAAGTAACTGAGAATGTAAGTAACATACATATGAAAGGATGTAGTCCATTATAGACACTAAATGTAGCTATTCTTAGGATGGAGACAAGCGAATGAATGTTTAAGCTCATTTATACAATATTCTTTTGGCAAGTCCATGAGAGAGAGTTCATTATTTAAGTAACAAAAGACTGAGATTATAAGGTAACTTCAGTGTTAATGATATTCATGTCAAAAGTTTTCTATTCAAAGGTCTGTATCTTGAAGCATTAGTATAAATTTTTCCTTCAAAAAGAATAGAAAATTTGAACTTAATCTTTTAAGAAAATACTACAGAAAGCAATTGGATTCTCTAAGTCGAAGGAAGTTTCATTATTACAAAACAGAAAAAAAGTTGTTTATTTTATAAATTATTTTGCCACTGGTAATTACTGAATGCTTCTTTAATGGCTCATAATGAATTCCATGCCTTTTCTAAGAATTACCTTGCTCCCAGAGTTATGTGGATTAAGTTATGTATATTTAACTTAAAAATTAGCATCACTTTGGGGAATCTGTCTCTGTCCCCTCAACATTTCATGAATAAACCAGCTAGATTTTTTAAAAAGTGCATAAATATATAAAATACTCTTTAGCACATTTATTTTAATACATAAACAGCATTCACAGATAGTTGAACTTTTCTTGACTTCAGTTTGCAAAATTTTAAAAGAAAATGAAATACAATTGTGAGCAGATGCATGTCTGATACTTTGCTCTATGCTTTGTTTATATATTGTGCCATGTGAATACACATCTATCTCAATTTAAAATTTAAATGTTTTCTATTACCTCTCTTACATCAAACTAATGGATGTTTTCTAGACAGATACCTTCTGAAATTGCAAAAAAGAATATAGCCATTTTAAAGGATTCTACTTTGTGGATTCAGTGCTAACCCCCACCCATAAATTCTACACACTTTACTAATTATATACAAATATCTATTTTGTTTTTTAAATCCTCACCTGAGGATATGTTTATCGATTTTAGAGAGAGGAAGGGAGAAAGAGAGAAACATTGATCTGTTGCCTTTTGTACCCACCGTGACCAGGAATCAAACCCACAACCTTTTTAGTTTACAGGACAATGCTCCAACCAACCAAGCCATCTAGCCAGGGCTACAAATGTCTGTTTTCAAAATACCTTAGAGTAATCTCCTAAATCAGTCAAATTACAGTGATTACTGAGATGTGTCAGCATTTCTAGTCTTGTTTTAGAATGAGGGACTTTTTTTCAGGAAAATAATTTTTATTAGATTTTCTGTTCATTAGCTTGGAAAAATATGGATAGACAGTTTATAAGAAAAATATATTATACCCTGGATTCGACTCTGTTGAGAATCCTTCCAAAATCTTATGCATATCTAAATTCTATGCTAGTGATTTTCAGATTAAGAGTTTGTTCCCATGCAGACCTATTTAACTCGTTCTACACTATGGAACAACACAGTGCCACCAAAAACACTGATATCTTAACATTATATTTCAGGAAAATAAGAATGAATCAGCATAAATTCTTGATTACCACTATTGTACAAAAGGAAGTTAATCTAAATAAAGTAAAAAATCCTCAGAGTGTGAGTGTTAGAACATCAATTGTGTGTCTATGCAATTGGTCTACTTGATATTCTGGACTCACATTCCTCTAGCTCTCACATCTTCTACATTTGAAACTACCTGTAAATAGAACAACTCCATTCTATCCTGGATGCATTATGTAGAGTTAATCAAGTAGAATGGAAGAAGCTCTGGGTATCCCTTATCGAACATCATTCTTCTTATAATTCCTCTGTGAGTGCCTGGTTCACACCTAAGGAGTGGATGAGCCACAAAGAGACTTTGCTGTCCTTAGGGATGCAGCAACACAAGCAAAGAAAGTTTCTAGGAGGGCACACTTACCAGTGGTAGCTTAGAACCCATGGAATCCAATAGTTTCTCTTAAAGTAGACAAAAATAATCATATGCTGCAGTATATTATAAAATGTTTTTTAATGCCTAAGGATATTGCATATCTTTCTTAACAGTCAGGGATAATATCCTCTACAGAATATGTTTTACTATCCAATGCATGTGTATTAAGTAAGTGATCAACAGCCTTACAACTTACTCTTCATTCAGTAATCTACTTTCATGGAAGTAAATTTTATTCAAGTAGGGAGTCTTCTTTAACTTCCATTCACATAAAAAACAAAAACAAAACACCTCTAAATTACTAACGTATGTAGATAAGACCATTGCAAAAATAATAACTTACACATTGTATTTAGCAGTTCCACAATTTCAGCCCTCCAGAAGTTAAGACAATTTTGTTATGTCTCAATAATTATTGACATCTTCCTTGCCAAGAAGTTCTAGAAGGCTTTATCTGCACTGGTGATACCTACTTCAAAGGAGAGAGCCATTCATCCAATTCCATTAAAGCATAAATTAAATAATCTAATTACTTTCTCAATTACCTTTTTAATTCAAAGCTTACCTTGAATAACCTCTTCCAATAGACCCACATAATTTTTTCTTTGAAGGACTTCAAGAAGCTATGTTTTTAGAGTTCTTTCAAAGTGCATTCAACTTTTTTTTTCCTTCTGAGCCTACTTCTTTATTATTTCCTACCTAGCCATGATTATTAGATTTTTTTCCTGATATATATCGCTGCATAACAAACTGTCCTGAAATTGAGTGGTTTAAAATAACAACAATCACTTATTTTGCTCACAGATTTTCAATTTGACAAGTTTGGTGGGAAAGACTTAGCTCTGCTCAAGGCAGCTGCAGCTGAGGGCCCAGAGATCTGCTTCCACTTAGACTCACGAAGCCACACTTTGCTACTTATTGGCTGTTGTCTGGAAGGTCAGATAAGACTGAGGACTGGAGGGCCTGTCTTCTTCTTGATTTGAGACTCCATGTGGTCTGAGCTTCTAATAGCTTGGGGTCCAAAGGTGAGCATCCCAAGACAAAGCCCGGTAGAAAGCTGTGTTGCCTTTTTTATGATTAGTTTACAAAGTCACATAGCGAGACTGTCCCTGCAGGTGTAGGTGGAGGCAGTCACAAACATCTATCCGGTTTCTAGGGTTAAAAACTTAGACTTCTCCTTTTGATGGAGGAGTGGCAAGGTTCTGGAAGAGCATGTGGGATAGTAGATATTATTATGACCTTTTGTTGGGGGAGGAGGGGGAATCTATCACACAATTACTATTATTATTAAGGCAATTTTACCCATTGGGACAATTCAGATGTTTTGTAAAAGTTCTTTCCAACTCTTACACTCTGAGCAGCCCTGGTCTTTCCTCTCACTAAACTCTGGGTACCTAAAATATCTTTAAAATATCTTTTACCCACTTAATCAGAGATAAATAGAGTACATTTGTATGATCTTATTGGGTATTCTAAAGAAATGAAGTGTCTACTGCTAATGGTAGTGGGAAAGTTATCTGCAGGCAAACTCTCTGTGAAGAGAAGAAAAAATGTTTTGTTCCTGCATCTCTCTTCTCTTATAGTGGCAAAATGCAAACAGCTTGAATATTACACTTAAGTGTATTAAATATCCTTTTAACTATTTTCAGTCTATTGCAAGAGCTTACAAATCTTGAATTTAGGGCCCTGTGTGGTGTTTTACCCCTTGATTTCTAACACTAGGGAAAGGTAGCTAGGGGGAGTATCAATGAGCTTATCAGAATATAAACATTCTGTTATCAGAATACAAATTCACCATGGCATTAGACAAAGCAGCTTTCAATTTTCTAATCCATTCAAGTAAACTGACTAATCCCAAGAAAATAGCAAAGCATATTTACAAAATAACACACTATGCCCAGCTGTGCAAGCAATGGACTATCTGTCTAAACTGATGAGCTCAGTTTTCTCTCTTGAATTGGAGTGAATTTGATTTCTCTTCTGGCTTGGATTGCCTTGTTAGGCCAATACAACTTCATAATTCAGTGCATGAATTTCTAAAGTGATGGCTAAGTGTGGTGGGCTGTTTCTGTTTCCCGCGACCCGCACGGGAAAACGACAGGTTCTTGAGCGGAGGAGCTGGGGATTAAGAAATTAAAGAAAGACCAAGATGCAGAAATAGATTTTAAGCTGGGGCCAGGTGGGCGCCATCCTCTCTGATGGAGAGGCGGCAAAGAGCTGCCTGAGCCACACAGCAGGTTTATTTTAAAGGCCTAGATTTACATATCTAGTTCCGCCCCTGCCTGATTAACATGTCCAGCCTTATTGGGGAAGCACGTTCCCAGGGCGTGGCTGCCTATGCTCTGAGTTCAGCTGACAATAATTATAAGAAAATCCCTAGGTGCCTCCCAGGCAGCCCTCTACATCTCCCCCGTTTTTGTTTTTTAAGCTACTATAATAAAAGTAAAATTTTAAACATTAATAGTAGGGCTCTAGAATTAAAACAATTGTAAACAATGCAAATGCAAAAACTAAACTACATACATGTTATCATTTTCAAAATTTGAATGTTAAGAACAAAAACTGGCTAATAAATAATAACAAAACAATGCCAATGCAAAACAACAATATGAGAAATCAGAACTATGGACATATTAACATTTTTGCTACT